GGAAGAGCGCACAAAAAATAAGCATTAGTACATTTTTCCTCTAGTACTCATGACTAAGGCAACAAGAAGCCAGCTGGTCCCTGGGGTATCACAGTTCATAGGTTCAGGAAAGCATAAGCCAACATAGAGATAAATATGCTGTGAGAAGATGGTAAATTAGAAGAGATGCAAACAGACAAAGGAAGAGAGCAAGTCAGACAAATGTGTAGATAAACAATCTGCAGGAAAAAAAGTCAGTTACCTAAATGGATGTAATAAAGGACCCCTGCCTAGAGGCTGTTTTTGGGAAGTGGGGCTGGGAAAGGAGCTGAAGTACTTGTCCCCTTGTTCCAAGACTGGAAGCTTTTCGTTTTGGCTGGGCAGATTTTAGGATGGCTCCAGGCCTTCGTTGTTGCTTGGCTTCATGTTTTGCAGCTCATTTCTGCAGTCTGGAGTGAGAGATTCTGGGGTCTCTGTGGTCTCTGCTGCAGGGAATGAAAGTGACAGCTCTGCCTCCTAAATCACTGCTGTGCTGACACCAGGAGTCCATGGGTTAAAACCATCTTTCACTGGTCAAAATAGCCAGGAATTTCTCTAAAAGTGAAGTCTGAGCTTTTTTGCTTTATTCTTTATTTTTTTTAACAAGGTATTATTAGTATTTTTAAAGTCACTATGCCAGTTCCTCAACTGTTTGTGTGCCAGCTAATGTTGTTTACTCCTAGGCTTAACAGATAATGCTGTAAAAAAATGGCAGCTGTTCTGCAGAGCTGCTGGATGGGTCTCTCTCTTCCTCTCTGGTAGCAACTGTGCCTGCCAGACCCAACAGTTTGCACCCACATGCAGCCTCCCTGGGACCTGTCATCGCCTGCCTGAATGTGCCAACTGGGCTCTGGCCCTGGACTGTCTCACTCCAGCCTATTTGCAATTGGTGTCACCACCTCTCTGTTGCTCTTGTTGCTTTTCTGCAGCCCCTAATTTGGCCAGGGCATTACACAGTGTCCTGCTGGGCTTCAGAAAGGAAAGGTCTGCCCGCAGCCAGAGCACTGCGAATGCAGACATTTCTTCTCTTCTGAAGAACAACTTTCAGCCTCAAATTGTCACTGGATGGTGCCTGCAGCCACTTTCCCTTCTCTTTTGAGAGAAGTTTGAGAGCCTTACTCCAAGTCTTGCATCCAGGCTTCAGAACTCTCCCACCTTCAGGTGTGTGTGTGCCTGGAGGATGGGTGTGGGCATCCCGGTAGCAAGGTGAGGAGGGTGGAAGAGGATTTGTACCTTGCTCCCACAGCACCTGCCTGGAGCAAATTCTGCAAGTGTCTCATCTTCAAATGAGAAGAGACCAGATGGTGATCTCCAGCTCTCTTCTTGAAATCAGGGTTAGGGGCCATGTCTGTGACCAAAAACAGAGGGAAGTGATGCTCTTTACAAAGAGCTGCCTTGAAGTAACAGGCAAACCCAAGCTTGTATTTTATTTACACTCTCCACTCTTTTTCTTCAGTTTCCATCAGGCCTTTGGGCCAGAGCAACCCAACCCTGGACACAGAGGAGCAGTGAGCAGTCTTTCTATATTTGATTAATATTTGTATCTAAAGACTGATACTGGTTAATGTGTTCAGAGGCAATGGTAGTTTTCAAGGTGTTCATTATGAATTACTCTGTCCAGGTAAAACATCAATGCCTTCTTGAATGAGGAGCCATAGTTGGGCCTGAGGTTGTGGACAGGCTCTCTGCTCCAGGTTGGCCATTGCTTCTGCTGCCTCATACCCATTCTGTCCTACATTCATTGCACTGGATTTTTGCAGTTTCTGAGAACAAAGCCTTGTGCCATCCTTCTTCTGTGGATTCTCTCTCAACCAGTGCTGCTACTGAGGATCATGTGTCCATGGGAGGATGGGCTGCAAGAAAAGCTTTGAGAGTTATTGAACATGTGGAACAAGGTAAAATTAAAATGGTGATTTCCAGACAGACCTTATGTATGTAACTAGCTGAAGATATTAGAACCATTCTTGTTAGATAAACTTTAACAAAAAAAAGGAGTTATTGCATCTGAAAGATCTAAAAAATATATGAAGTACATACTTTTACAAGCATTTGGATCTTTCTACCAGAAATGAGGTGAATCAAGCACTGAGTGTTTCCTGTGAAAAAAACCTGCTTACTGCAGGACACTCAGCAAAAATTTTCTCTTGTGCTTACAAGGACAGATTGCTCTTTTGCTTTTTATTTACTTATTTATTTGGCAGATGGTGAGCTTAGATACGGATGTCAGCTGTTAGTGGAAAAGCAGAGTAATACACAGAACACAGATAATGAACTCACTTGCCCACTTCAGTTTATATGTTGGAGACTTCGCTCTACAGAAATACATTCTGTGTGCAGATACATGAGTTTGAGAAACCATGTGTTTCAACAATGTGCTGAGAAACAGTGTGTCCTGGACCCAGTTGATTCACCCAGTTCCTCATTAATTGATTAATGAAAATGAGATAGTAATGACAGTAATGTTCAGGTGTAGGGTGGGCAAACGGTGCGGACTTCTCTGGACAGAAGACCCTCTTCCAAAGCTCTGTAATTCTACTCGTGCTTTCTACGTGGGCCCTTGCAAGTTTCATTGGCAGAGCTTTTGTTTATAGCTCAGGCCCCTTTCTTCTCTGTCCTAAAGAGGTTGTCTGATTTATTATGGCCATTAATTTGAGTATTTAAGATACCTTGGAAGAGATTCCTATGGATTTAAGACTCTGCTGGCCAGGAATTCTTGGCACACTGAAAGGTCTGTACAGCAGAACACCCCAAATCTGCTTGCTAAGATGCTGGATATGGGCACCATCCAGCTGCTGGGGGCCTCTCTGGGGTGTGTGTGTGAAAAGACCCACTGGTCTTTTCACATTGCCTGAACAGGCACCATATTGGCCAGGACAAACTCCAGGGGTAGCTTTATAAGGGAATCCTCGCCTTGAGTTCTACCTGCTGAGAACTCCTTTGGCCATTCCAATTTCCTAGTTCTGGCTATCGAGCTGCTCGCAGCCTGCCAGGGCATCGAATTCCTACGCCCTCTGAGAACGACAACCCCATTGGAGAAGGTCTACGACCTTGTGCGCTCCGTGGTGAGGTAAGACCAGGTCCACACCTCCCCCAGAGGGTGCCCCTCTGGAGACCAGCCCCCAGCAGCAGTGGTTAATGTTTGGCCAATGTTCACAATGTGTCTGATTACAGGCCTTGGATGAAGGATCGCTTCATGGCCCCGGACATTGAAGCAGTGCACAGGCTGCTGGTGGAGCAGAAGGCAAGTGTTGGCTTTCAGCACGTGCAGTAGGACTCTCCAGAGATGTTTGGTGTAGCTCTGCTGTGGAAATACCCTCTATGCTTTCACTGGATGGCCTCGCTAAAGCGCCAGCTGCCTGGGGCAAATCCACCACATTCCCTGAGATTTGGTTTTCCTTCCTTTTAGGAGGATAGATTTATAAATCCATTCTTAAACTTGCCCCGTGTAACAAGTAGCTTACAGTGTTAAATCTGGCAAGGTCCAGATGTAAGTCCAACTGTGAATTGTTAGAGGGCAGGGTCCTATAACCACACAGATGTCCAGAGGAATGGGCAGTATCTCCAGATGGTGATCCTCATTCCTGGAGCTGTGAGTGTTCCCCAGCCTTGAGGCCCTTGGACATTGTCTGGAAGCAATAAGGGGATGTAGATGAGGGAATAGCAGTGGTTAAATGTGTTAACCTGGGCCAAGAGTTTGTACAGCTGCAGGATCTATCTATTTTATCTGCTTCTAAAACATAAATAACAGAAGAATGGAGGAGAATAAGCAAATGGGACAAGAAAATCCCTTTTTTGCCTTGCAGCCCTTACAGAGGAAAGTCAAAGGAGAGTTAATGTAGAAAATTTTCCTCTTCTGTCTTAACCCCAGCTCTGTCCCTTCCCTTTTTATTTTGTCCATGACAGCTGCCATTATGCATAAAGGGGACAGGCCCCTTTATGACCAAGTGGTTTTGTAGCAAGTAGCAGCAATTCTCTCCCAGCTGCTGCACAGACAGCATTAACCTGGTAACAGAAAGACTCACCATTTTCACCTTGAATGCTTTCATCTTGTACCCCTGGAGCTG